AATAATATTAAGACACAATTGGTTCTTTTTTCAATTCTGTTCTATTCCCTTCCATACTCTATAAAGTTAACTACTATTTTGAAATTTGTATATATCATATGAGTATATTTAAGTGTTTTATTATATATGTGTGTATCCATGAACAATATAGAATTATTTTTGTTCTACAACTTGACATAAATAATGACATAATGGTATTTTTCTTCACATCACCTGAAGTTTTTGAAATGTATTAATGTTTATATACATATACTTATTTTATTCACTGTAACTTTATTTTATTGGATTAAATTAGAACATTACTCTGTATTTTTGCTATTTATTTTAGACATTTAGATTTTTTTCTTATCTTCACTATAGTAAGTAGGTCTATGTTGAAAATATTTTATCTACTTCTTTATACATATTGTTTTTGTACGCGTTTCTTTAGGGTAAATGTTTAGATGTGGGATTGCTGGCTAGCAGGATTTTCTAGCATTTTCAAAGATACTAGAAAATATCATATTGTCCTCCTAAATTGTGGTACTAATTCACCCAATAATAGCAACAGTAAAGGTTTTTATTTCTCCAGATTTTCTCTGGTACTTGATGATCACCAGTTCTCTTATTTAAAATTTTGTTTAATAAACTTTACAAATTTATCTCCATTTTGAAAACAGTTTTTTTGGGGTATCATAAAGTTTTGTTGCAATTCTAAATATTATTATTACATTTTATATTTGGTCGTCACTAGTGTATAGAAATGTTAATGTTTTTTATAGATTGATTCTTGTAGACTGCTATCTAGTGGAACTCTCTTATGGCTTCAATATTCTTCTCACTAATGTACAAACATTTAATATTTCTTTAAATGAGGATGAACTGTGAATGGTAAACATTCACAATAAAGATATTTGCCTTGAGTTTTAGTATATTTATCTTTGTCTTGCTGGTGGACAGGTGTTCTACTGTAGGTAGACTTCTTTTTATCTTCTTCAAACTGAGGATGTATAACTTTCCTTAATTCATGATTATTTTTTTCTCCTTGAATATTGTTTCTCCTCAATTTCATCTAATCTCTTTTTTGGCAACTCCTTCTAAACTTCTGTTGAATTTTATGATTCTATCAGTCAGTTAGCATAGATTTTTAATTTTTTTTACCTCTCCACTTCAATTTACGATATTGTTCTCAGGTCTGAATCTCTAGCAGTTTTTAATCTCTTGTTCAAACTATACATTGAGTTTTTAATTTCAATGACTACTTATTTCTAGAAGTAAATTATATGGATTACTTTACCAAACCAATTAATCTTTACAATTTTAATATTGTGCCCTGCTATATTGTTTTTAATCTTCTTATTTATTCTTTAATCTTCTAATCATATTTTTGCAAGTGTACATTTTAAACATATTTTTATTATTTATGGGATAAAATATAATCACATATTGTTATGATTATACAATTTTTTTCAGACTATGTTTTCCAGTTCTTTGTGTACAAATATTCTGATTTTTGTGGTTATGGATTTTTCTTTTGGAGTTATTTTCCTTTTGTGTACTGTGCTGCTTGTGGTGAGCTCATTTTCAGTGGCAGCTGCAATTTTTTTTTCCTTTGGGAATACCATTTGCTTGACTTGCTGAAGAATTCTAGCACGTAAAGGAAGAATAAAATTGACCCTATCCCCATGTGGCACACAGGTTTGGGAATTTGGTCTTGCACAAGGTACTAATTTTTCCCTATGCAGAGTCCCATAGAAAAAAAAAGAAAGTTTTCTAAGTGCCTCTCCAGGCTTGCCGGAAGAATTTTTTAGCACCCATCTCACCATCATCAATAATTTCTAGAGATGCCATTAAGCGAGTTCACTTGCCATTTCCCTCTGTGGATCCAAATCTTAGTGTCAAGTCATCATGAGGGCATTAAAACTCCAAACAATAGTTCTGTTCTTAAAACTAAGACTAGGTTCCTACACCAACCCATGACCCCAGTTGCTGTTTTGTTTGAGCTTACGTTTAATTTATATTTCCCTCTTTTGTCTTACATCTAGTAATTTTCCTTTCTTTCCTGAATCTGCATGTATATAAATTTATTTGCTACGTTTATCCAGCATATTTGTGTTTTTAAAATAGCAAAATTGAATAAAAGTCGTGTCCATATTAGCTCAGTATGGCATTTTACCAGAATATCGGTCATTTAAAATTTGCAGTAGAAAAAATATTAGGCCCAAGACTTCATAATGAAGTCAAAATATCTTCATACTTGAGTTAGTAAAAAATTTCTTTCCAATAAAAATTAGAAAAAAACTCTTATTTGTTGTAAGTATAAGAAAATAAATGTACAAATGTTTAAGGTTAAGATGAATTTTGGAGATTAATACATAGACATTATTTTATGTGTAATTTCTATTTTATTTACAGATAATACTCATTTAAAGTTACTAATAAATATATGGACGTGTATGTATATATTCTTTCTATTCAACCAAAAATCTGTCATTTTATTTGAAGTCTCTAGACTCTCAGTCCCTCAATAACATTTTGCTTCTTAAATAGCATTTTGATCCACAATCTTTTTACTAATCAGTTTGACATACCTATGTCAAATAATGTTTGTGTAAAACAATATGAACTGTCACATTTCTCTCTACATTAATAAGTGCCTTTCGTTGAAATACTGGGTTATGTGTTATTCTTTTAAACAGGAAACTATAGGCATCTAATTATAGTATATGGCATATATATTGTGATGTAACTCATTTTGAAATATGATATTATTGTGCTATTATGATACAGTTTTGTGATATAATTCTTGATGTATGCATATAATTTGTGATTTTTATGAAACTTGCTTTCTGTGAGTTTTTATTCTAAAGCAATTTAGTTCATAAAAACTTAACAGTTTTCTATTTAAAGTATCACACAGTTGAAAGGCATTTATTTTAATGATGCTATTTACTTAATTTTTCATTCTCTTTCATGATTTCTTAATTGTTGTTTATTGTTGTATTTTAATTGTCTGTGTAGAGCTTCAAGTGTCATCGCAGGAGGCATTTTGCTTATTAGGATTATAATCGCTCACGATACAATATTGAGTTCGGCTGAAAGCCAGGCAGTGAGTCGCTCAAGGGGCCTTCCCTCAGAGCCCTGCTAATCAGTATGGCGCTCTTGTTCTTCTAGCCTTTCTCGCAATATTTACCAAAGAAAATAACTCCTGTGCTACTCTTTCCTGGCAAACACCAGACATCACCATTTTATGAACGGTAGGTACATAGAAATGCTTCTTTTTTTCCCTCCTTGTTTGATTTCTTATATTCTAGAGACAAGGGGTGGGGGGGTTCTCTTTCATTTCAAGCTTAGCTTTGTCTGTCCTTTGAGTTAGTGGTAAAGGTTAGAGATTTCTGTGGAGTTAAAAACAAAAAAGCACACACACAAGATATGTTTTGATAAATATTAGAGAAGATGTACTGAAAGCCTGCAGGATTCCCCAAAAAGATATTCAGAATGGAGAGGGGGAGTGTCCTTAAGCAAGCCATCACTCACAGACTGCTATACAATTTTGGTCTGCGAGAACAATTTTTCATTTCAGATAATATTGGAATGATAATAATGATAATATTGCATCTGGTCAATTTTCCATATTCCAGGACATGACAACTGTTTACCGTGAGCTTGGAGACTTTCCACTTACTGGTGTAGACAGGAGTTTTATTGTTTCAGTAGTTAAAGATATTGTCTATGTTGTGCCAATGAAACATACACTTGTTTTGTAACTATTATAATATTTAGCTCAATATTTCAGACATTCTTGTCCCAATACGAACATACTTATTTATTACTATGCAATGGCTTAATATTTGCATACACACATATATACACATGCATCAATTTAGTATATAATATTTTACAGCCTAGATAAGAGTAACAAGTTAATAAAAGAGATTTTAATAAGGTTCTATTTTTGTTTGAAAACAAAGAAAAGAAGTAGTAACTTTTGCGACATTATGGCAGGTTAATTTTTTTGAAAACTTGTCCATTCTCACAGCTAACATAGCTGTACACTGATCCGAACATTATGGAATTGATTACTGTAGCTAAAGTAAATCAGTCTTATCATTTCAGACCCACCCATGCCTCTGCTTCCTCTATGCGGATAAACTGCAGGTGTAATGCATCCCTTAGTGTTAACATGATGTGTTATTACCCAAAGGTATACAAGAAATAAAGTTGCATATCCAAGACTATTCTTGAGAGAACATATTGTGCCTTTAACCAGTTCCACTAGGGTTTCTTACATTTTGGCAAGTAAACAGAAGATTTTGAATATGGTGAGTATTTTAAGAACTATCTGGGTCAACTGAGTACCACATGTTCTCACGCATAAGTGGAACTTGAATGATTATCATGATACTATAAGAAAGGGGTTGACAGCAGAGGGAAATTGCCAGGGGATGGGAACACACCTCAGCAACAATGGTACCTGCATAATGAACATTTGTATATCTCACCCTGAATTATACCCTGTATCTTTAAAATACCAAATTAAAATTTAATTTTATTTTATTTAAAAAGATCTATCTGGGACCAAACTTCAGAGGATTATTTAAAAATCCAGAATGAAATCCATGGCAGAATTATTTTGGGAATTACATGCAAAGGTACAATACATTTGAGTGTATTGTAGTTTTAAAGGGTTGTTCTCTTTAGCGTTGTATATTTGTAAATTAACAGACTAGTTGGGCAGTAGGAAAAAAGAGTTTTTGTTATAAAATGACACAGACTCTTAAGCGACTTATCCTCTGCACTTGCAGGTTTTCAGATAAACAGCGAATGCCTTAAGGACATCTTGCCATAGCGACCCTCACAGGTAATTAAAGACGCTTACAAGAGCACCACGTACAAACTAGGTAGTGGCTATTTACAAAAGTCGCCAGAAGATGTCTTCTGTCTGGACAGTGAGAGCCTTCTGTCTGGACAGAGGAGCCTTCTGTCTGGACAGTGAGACATTACTGGAATGAACGAGGTACCTTGCAGGTACAGGGCCCAATGCAAGGGTCATCATTTGTGCTCCCCAAGGCACTGCAGTTACAGGCGACACAGTCTGGGTAACCCATGTAGCCCCTGGCACAACGATTACAGCTCACGCCTCCAAAGCCAGTTCTGCAATGACAGGACCCAGGTGCCAGACCTAAAAGAAGATGAGATACACGTCAACCTTTTAAAAACAAACACACAATTTAGTTCTTAAAGTTTAAATTATAGTAGCCTATAAAAGTCTATTTTGGCAAAAAATTAGAGTCTTCATGTATATCATATAAGAAAAGTTAAAATCAAAGGGTACAGGGTTTGATGAGAAGCTTAGTACTATTATGCTAAAATAGTGCCTTCTAAGTACCTTTAAACATGTTAAAAATTAAAAAAAGAAAGATGAAATCTCAAAGTGTCTACCAAAGCCAAAGGCTATAGAAAAATGGTAACAATGATCACAGAGGAATTTCTCCAAACTTTAAGACTCATGACACTACACTGAGAAGAATAAGTGTTAACCGGTCCATTCCTGATGACGCATAAAACAAGCCTGCCTGTTCAGGCTATCACAGATGCAGGATAGTCTTGGAAATAAAGATGTATAAGAACAACATTGTTGGCCATATTACTAGAGAAAAAACTAGAAGTGTTCATGGGAATGGATATTTTGGGGATAAGAAGAAATAGAGGCGGGAAATGAAATACAGGATGAATAAATATAATTATAGACCTCCAAAATCTGAAAAAAGATAAATGCAAATGAATAGCAAATAGTCCATCAGAAAAAAGAAAAGAGAGGTGAAAAAAAGTAAGGAAACTATGGTGAGAAAGCATAAAACAGAATGACAGAAATAGTGTCAAACATACATACTAAATATATATAAATGAATTAAATGGTCTTACTGTTTCTATTAAAAACATGAACATGTAATGTGCAGAAGAGATGCACAGAATGGACAGAAATATTGAAAACTAAAGAAAATAAATATAAGAAAAGTATATTCTTAAAAGAGAGTTGCAGTAATAGCTATTAGGGTCAAAGAATTCAAATAAACTAGATTCAATAAGATAAGCTCTCACTTTACATTGATTGCAAAAGCAGTGAGAAATTTAACATCAACTTCTGATGTTAAAATTTCCATAAACTGAGACTAAGTATAGAGGTACTCCATGTAATAAACAATGCCTGTGTTAACTTTTGTTTCTGGAATTATTGTAGACTAGATGTCCAAAGACTTTCTCCTATTCAGAACACTTGAAGATGCAGGATTAAAAAAAAAGAGGGAGGAAGGGAGGTGGGGAGGGAAGGAAGGAAGGAAAGAAGGAAGGAAGGAAGGAAGGAAGGAAGGAAGGAAGGAAGGAAGGAAGGAAGGAAGGAAGGAAGGAAGGAAGAGAAGAATATGGATAGATTGGTTGTGCTGGTATGAAATAAAGCAACCCCTTTGAAATGAGAAGCTATGAAAATGACTTCTTGAGAGGTAAATTACCCTTTAAGTCGGTGTCTTTCCTGGAGATGACTGGCAAATTCTGATGAAGGAGACTAGAGTTTATAGAGGATGGTTTCGGTGAACCACAACAAAAAATCCTAGGTCCTACACTAGTTAGGAGGTCATTATCAGAGAATCTCACATAAATCCAAGGGTCTTGAAAGAATATACCAAGAAATATATATACATGCATGCACACATACACAAAACACACATGTAGAACATGTAAGAAGATGAAGCCCCAATGAATAGGGGTTAAGAGGAAAATCAAAATACAGAATCAAATTCAAAATGCAGAGATTGCTACTAACAGATACAGAATATAAGATAAATATATCTAACATGTCTAAATAGATAAAAATAATATTAAATGGAGATGAATAAAAAAAGTGTTGGAAAACAAAATGTAGTTTAAAACATTCCTTATAAAATATACCAAAACTCCAGACAGATTAAGAAATTAAGTATCAGCTGGGCTCGGTGGCTCAGCCTGTAATCCCACGCCTTTGGGAGGCTGAGGTGAGTGGATTGCCTGAGCCCGCGGGTTCCAGACCCGCCTGGACAGCAAGACCGCATCTCTACAATAAATCAAAAAAATCAGCCGGGCGTGGTAGCGCATGCCTGTAATTATGGCTACTTGGAAGTCTGAGGCGGAAGGATCGCCGGAGCCCAGCGGGTTGAGGCTGCGGTGGCTGGGAGCGGCCACTGCACTCCAGTCTGGGAGACAGAGTGAGACTCCAACTCAAAAAAAAAAAAGAAATTAAGTATCATAAAATGAAATCATACAAATGAAGGAAACAAATATATTAATAATCTAGGATTATAAAGACATAATACATCAAATAGAAAAATATTAAAATACATAATAGTCTTGGGATTGTGTCATTATAGCTACCGAATATTAACTGAATTTTGATAACAGATTATATAAAAAATTTTTTAAGTTCTATACATTATAAATTCTTATCAATAATAGAGACACAAAAATCAAATCTGGAAATTGTAAAAAGTTTGACATACTATTATTGTTTTTCGTATTTAAAGAACTCTTACAAATTTATGGGGGAAGAAGTCTACCTTACACCAAAGGTAAATAAAGAAAACAAAAAGAAAATTCATAGATGAAATACATTTGTATTTCTTCAGCAGTCAATTTAATGTCAATAAGACACCAAAATATCATTTTCCACTATTTGGTTATACAATCTGATGAAGAAACACAAACCATTATATCACGTTTTAGACTCTTTTCTAAAAAGGTCATCAGACGAAGCATAAAGATAAAAATGTAATACAGGTATGTGTTCACTTTTACAACTCAGATCTATATCTAATAATATGAATCTAATTACAATACTACAGATCTTGATTATTAGACTTCAATTTTGAAATTATGAGAATTAATTATTGGTCCAGGACCAAATATATCTGTTAAAATTTTTGAAAAGGTAAGTATGTAATTGATAGACATTGCCGGGTGGTGGGAAAGGTAGGGATGGTCTTTTTCTCATCCTGTACAGTAGAAAGTCTAAATTAATAGATGATGAAATAAAAATTTAAACTTTCTATTTAACATCATAAAGATATCACAGAAGAAACACATAGTGAAAACGTATGGAAGGTGGAGAGAAGGAGGGAGGTGGTGTAATTAAGTGTTTCTTAAACTTTTAATATGGAGTCAATAGACAATATGTAATGGTGAGAAAGATACTGGTAAGAATATTATTTAGATAGTAAAGGTAATTCAAAAAAAGAAGATAGTAAAGGTAACTCAACAAAGGCTCAGGATATTTAAATTTGGAAATGAGACTGGCATAAATAGGTTGAAGAGCACATTATTGTTATCTATTTTATTACCTTCCTTACTGTAAAAAGTGTATTTTACTATATTTATTATTTTGATAATAATTGAAACATACTTTAAGGGATAGTCTTTATGAAAGCATTGGTTATAGTAAACAAACAAAAAACTGAAGGAATCTAAATTTCTATATAGAGTTGAGTGGGTAAGTAATTTTGGTGCAACGATATAATGAATGTTATTTAGGTGCTGAAACCACATTTCAGATAAATTTTTCATAAACTTGGGGGAAATTCATCATATAAAGTTAAAAGAAGCAATACCAAAAATTTCTCTAGATGTGAAATTCTTTAGACGAGAATGTGGACTCTTTTCTAAAAGGGTCATCAGATTAAGCATGAAGATAAAAATGTATTCATATGCATCCAATTTTGCAGCTCAGGTCTATATCAAAATTATACAAAAATATTAACAGTGGTGTCTCTGCTGGATTGCCACTGAATTATATATTTATTTTTCTACTTTTTCATTTTTTAAACTTTTTCAGTCACAACAAACTTATTTAAATAAGGCAGGGGAGAGTTAAATGGCCTTACTGAAAAGAACATTGTGATTCGGTTGTTACCAAAAAAGGAAAAAGGGCTTAAAATGAAAAATGATCTCAGTAATTCATCATTTGAATATTAAAATAGATCATTTAAAAAATATATTTCAAGATTTAAGACGGCATGTAATGTTCAAATTGATTATCTTACTATTTTATAAAGAAAGCAGGTAAGCTGAATTGTGCCAAAGAAACATTGCTAGTCTTTTATTTATTTATTTATTTTTAGATTAGAGAATATAGTTTATTTAGAAAGTAAATTAGAGAGAGAGAAAGAGAAGATTCACCTTCCCAAGGTAGGGAAGAGGACCAAAGCTTAAGAAAACATGGCCTGGCCGTAACTCAAAGAGCACATGGCCACACCATAGCTTAGCAAGGCAATGGTGACGGCAATGATCTAGCAATGGCCCATTGTAGGTCTTTTAACTCTAAAGTCATTAGAGAAAAAAAATCCTACATCGTAGCCATGATTTATTTCAGCCTTTCTAAAGAAGAGAATTCACTCCTAGAGATATAAAGAAACTGTCCCAAATACATTCTATGACTTTCCTACTTAAACTTGGCAAGCAGCTACCCTGGAAGTAGCTCCCAAATGTTTTATATCAAGGAGTTATGTTGGTATTTGATTCTCTAATGTTTGGATTTCATTGTGAATTTCATTTCTCAAAGGCATTGTTTGGCTTAAATTAGCGTCAGCCTCTTTCACTTCATTAACTCATGACTACCACCTTCTGTAGTTCTTTACCAGCATGTGGTGCTTTCTATCTTATTGCCTACAGCTCAAGGTATGATCTCTCCTGTTGGCTATTTCCACTGTAGGACACACTCCCCTCAGTAATTGCTGTCATTTCCCACTAGAACCCACAGAAGCTACAAACCAATTTAATGAATAACAGGGTATGAAAAAGTTGCACCACCAATTTGTGACTGACTTTTTATATACGTGTGTGTATGTGTACGCGTATTCCTATATTTCAAAACAAGTGATTTAACTTTTCTTGCTATTTAAATATTATCATTAAACATGAAAGTAATTATTGAGATGAATTAAAAAACTGTCCCATGGAGGGAACCCTAATACATCCATAGATTTAAGAATAAATTTATCACATGAATGTCATTTACTGCAAAATATTCTGCCAATAATCAGAACTGGCTTTCGGTTGTCCCTTCATCAGGGCAGTGACATTCTACAGCAGCTCTCACCTCGTCGAGCTTGCTTCTCATCCTTGACACAGACTGTATTTAAGGAACCAACTGGATCACAATGACATGGCTGGCACGGTCTTGGGTAATTGGGAGTTACCTAACAAAAACATTGAAATGCTTTCAAATATGTGTAATAAAAACAGCAATATTTTTCCATTCAGCAAACTTTTAAGAACAAATTAAAGTAATTTTAATGATACATGATAACAAATTAATGAGAAAATTGTGATATGAAATTACCTTTAATAGAGGTTTGCAATATCTGAAATCCATTTCTTCTAAATCGTTACACAAAAGTAAAGAGAAGTGTAGTATAATAAATTTCTTTATATTTATTAGCTAGGTTCAACAGCTATGAAGATTTTCTCATATGAATTTCATCACATTTTAGACTTTGCTAAATTTTTTAAAGAGAATCCCAGATACACAGCCTTTAGTCACTATACATTTAAGAATGCACCTCTTTTATAACAACAGTATCATTCTCATAACCAAGAAAAATAACAGTATTTGCTTGGTATACTTTAATTTATATTCCATAATAAAGTCTTCCCAATTACTTTGTTTTTTGTTACAACATAGTTCAAAATTAGCAACAGAAGGCCAGGCACTGTGACTCGTGCCTATAATCCCAACACTCTAGGAAGCTGAGATGGGAGGACTGCTGAGTGAGACCTGGCGTTTGACAACATAGTGAGACTTCATCTCTACAAAAAATCAAAAAATTAGCCAGGTGTGGTGGCACATGCCTGTAATCCCAGCTACTCAGGAGCCTGAGGCAGGTGGAAGGATTATCTGGGCCCAGAAAGATAAAGCTGCCATGAGCTATGATTGTGCCATTACACTCCAGCTTGGGCAAGTGAGTGAGACCTTAGCTCAAAAAAAAAGTAAAATTTTTTTTCCAAATTTATTTTCCACACACTTTTAAAATATCGATCATGATACAATTAATTACATCAAAATTTATATTTGATGTTTGAAAGAAGATAATATTAAATATTTAGATGTAAAAATTTGGTTTTCTGAAAGGCAGCATTAACTGGGAGGAAGCAATGTGGACTCCATAACCAGAAAAACCTGAGCTCATATCCTAGTGTGGCCCTGGGCAGTTTATTTACCTCCTTGAAATATGAGGACAATACTAGCAAATACAGCGATGTCATATAAATTAAAATTAAAAGGAATAATATATAAAGCATTTTGTAAGATTCCTGGCACATTTTAAATACTTCATATAACTAGTAGCTTTTGCTGTTAGAATGTTCTAATGAAAGAAGCCTAGACGGTCCTAATATACTATATATACAGATTTATTTTCCAGATTAAATAGAAAAAGAACTAAAAAACTAAATTATTTGCTCAGAAAATACTGAACTACTGCTGAGTTATATACATACACATACTGTATGTATGAATATACTTCCCTCTCATTAGACATAGCTTCTGTATATGTGTATATCTAGGTTTAATTCTCAAATGAAAACTTGTTTGCTAAAATAAATCAAAGTGCTAAAATTATACTTATTTACATATCTGATTGAATATCACTAAATTAGACTCACAAATCACTTTCAAAATAATCGTTTATTTAAGATACATTCATTCATCCCCTGCTATGAAGTAAGGACTGTGCAAAGCATAGGTAAGGCATGATCTCTGCCTTAAGTAAGTTTACAGGAATAATAATACACTTAAAAGACACTGATTAAAGAGAATGTGCAAAGGAATAAAATAGACATACAAGCACAGCATTATAGGCCCCCAAAAGAGGGGGTAATAACATAGCACAATGAAGTCAAGCAATGCATTACGGAAAGAGGTGATTGTTTAAAGTGAAGCTTAAATTGGACTGGATTTAAAAAATGGGGTACATAAACATGACGGAATATTACACAGCCATGAAGAAGGACAATCATATGGACTTCGTGGCAACTTGGATGGATATAGAATCAATAATACTCAGTGATCTATCATAGAAACAAAGAACAGAGTACCACATGTTCTCACTCATAAGTGGACATTGAACATTTACCAAAATACTGTAAGAAAGGGATAGGCAGTAGTTGGGTACGACGGGGTGAGGGTGGGGGGACACAACATCAATAAGGGCACCTGATCTCAAACCAGGCAAAGTGGGGACCAAAGGGAGGCCCAAACTTTACCTGTATGATGTCCACTTGTATACCTAATCCTGAATTGGACCCCACATCTTTAAATATATATATATAAAAGAAAAAAATAATGAATAAAGTGAAGCTTAAGGTATAAGCATCAATTTGAGAGTGGGATTGGAAGAAAGACTTTGTACCCAGAGAAACCACCCGGATATGAAAACAGAAACAAAAAATCTCTTGGTAGGCACATTGCAAAAAATTTTTTGGATAAAATTTTTTAGTCTTAGAAATATGATTTATGATCCCAATTATGAGTTTGAGTAAACCAAAGCCTTCTAATTCATTACCTTATCTTGTTGTAATTAGGAAAATCTGCCTGAATTAGCGGGTTGATCAGGAAACCTTCTAATCAACGAGATTCTAAAAACATATCTATCTTACATTTTCATCTTACTAAAATAATTTAGATTACTAATTTATCCTCTAAATATTGTATTGTATATATTTATATACATAAAAGTTAATATGTGTGTTAAGTACACACATATAAAATCAAATTTTAGACAATAATTTTACACAAAACCTTTTTTTCCTGCATCTTCATAAAAACACAGTGGACTTCTACACAAATATTGAGTGCTTGAAAGATATGTATTTTTTTTTAACAGTGTAGCATAAGCATTTTCATAAGTATAAAAACACCAAATTCTAGGCTCAGATTCACTTAATTACTTGACTTGTAATAAAAACATGATCAAGAGCCCAGTTCTGATAATGATAAAGTGTCTTGTATGAAACTAACAACACTATCAGATAACAATTATGAATTCTGGACAAAATATTAAAATCAAACATTTGTGGACATGGGAGAATAAATAAAAGCTGGTAGAAATTGGAAGGATTTGATGTTCAAAAGAAAAAAAGTATGTACATTGAAGGAAATCCACATTTATAGAGGGAAAGGATCAAAATTTCCATGCCAATATCCCTCCAAGACTTAACTTATCCTTTTAAAGTACATTCATTCATGAGACTCCAGAAAACCTAGTGGAAAGCAACAGCTGGTAAACTGAATAAGCTGCACAGAGTTTTCAGGTGCTACACACCATAAAGTAAAAAGAAATTGGGTTTTAAGTCAAACAAGTTAGTTACATAAGGTGAATACCTTGAGTTTTCCATCAATATGCCCTCACAAAATTTAAAGTCAAACCTCTGGAACTTCATGGTGATAACTCAGTGAGTTTACTCCTAATTAGAACAAATTCAAAATCTTCAGAGGAGGATAACAGAATCCAGTCTCTCTGCATTGTATTCTCTAAAATGTCCTGTATAAATAATAAATTACAAAAGTTCCCCCTTATCTGTGGTTTTAGTTACCACATTCAACCACAGTCCAAAAATATTAAATGAAATATTTTAGAAATAAATAATTTATAAGTTTTAATTTGCATGCCTTTCTGGGTAGTGTGATGAAATTTCACATCATTCCACTCTGAATTGCCAGGGATGTGAATCATCTCTTTTCCAGCATATCCATGCTGTATATACACTACCCTCCCATTAGTCACTGAGTCATCATTGTTATCAGATTGAAAAAACATGTTATATATATGACTTGGTACTATCCGTGGTTTCAGGCATCCACTTTGGGTCTTGGAACATTTCCCCTGTGAATACAGGGGGGCTACTGAACTGGATGTGAGAAGAAACAGGAAAAAGTTGTCCTTATTAAAAAAGAAAAAGAAGTCAATAAAAGCAGACCCTAAGGTGATCCAGGTATTCAAATAAGACAAGGAAGTCAATGTAAGTACTATATGTCCAAGAATATCAAGAAAACAAGTTTGTATAACTGAATGCATGGAGTATTTCAGCAGAGTAATGGAACTTTTGAGAAACATAAGAACTACAGAAAGTTGAAAAGTAAAATATCTTAATTTAAAAATTCACTGAATATGTTTAGTGCCAAGTTAGAGATGGCAGGAGGAAAAGTAGTCAACCTGATGACATGATGACAAATAAAAATGATTCAATCTGAAGAACAGAGAAAGAAAAGAAATTAAATTAGTACTGCTTCAATGACCTACCAGACACAATCAAGCAACCTGACATGCATGCAGTTGGTGTCCTAGGAGACAACAAAAAAGTATGGGGATTGACTGTAAGGAGGTCCAGTGGAACTTTCTGGAGAGATGGAAATGTTTTATCTTACAGTCTCAAAGATTTACATCAGCTTCCTTATAAAATGTTCCCAGTCGTTTAAAAAATTTTTTGGGGTTTTTTATTTTGTTTTAGAGACAAGGTCTTACTCTGTTGTTAGGGCTGGAGTGCAATGGCACAATCATAACTTACTGCAGCCTCAAACTCCTAGGCTCAAGCGATCCTCCTGCATTGGTCTCCCCAGCAGCTGGACTACAGGCATGCACTACTGTGGCAGATTAATTTTTAAAAAATTTAAAAGGAATGGTTGCTCAGACTAGTCTTGAACTCCTGGGCTCAAGGGATCCTCCTGTCTCGGCATCCCAAAGTGCTGGGATTACAGGCATGAGCCACCGGGCCCAGCCCCATTGACCTTTTAGAATTTGCAGTTTAACATTTTAGAGAAACGTTCAAAGTTATTTGTTATAAGTACATTTTTGTATAAAAAGGCAAAAATAACACTTTATGAAAGAAGAAAACATACCCCTTTGGGTCTGAAGAAGCCGTCAATACATGTCTCACAGTTTATACCAGCAGTATTTCGAGTACAATTAATGCACACACCACCTCCAATGTATTTTCCATGTATATTTAAACTCAGATTTCTTCTGGCAACATTTTCATCATAATAGCATTCTTCAGCTTTTCCATGACAATTGCATGCTGCATTAGGGGAAAATAAATTAATAAATGTTGATTTCAAGTTTCGGATACATTTAAATATTATTTTCTGTTGTACATAATAGATTATACTATGTGGGGAATTACATTTCTCATGCACACACCCAGGAAGGTATCTAAAAAGTATTTATATTTATTGGATGTATTAATAAATTCACAAATTGTAATGGAATTTGAGATAATTAAAACATATAAATTAATATGAATCATATGAAATTGCCAATATTTGATTTTGACTTACAAAAGTGCAATTTCATATGGCTCAACCTATAATTTCACATTATGGCAAATGATAAATTACTGAATGATGGCATTGAATAATTAACACATTAATTAGTCAGTAATTAACTAACGAATAATTACTATACAGAAATCTCTGTGCTAGGTTCTATGAGTACAGAAAAACATGCAGGATATAATTTCTTTCTTTTACTACTAAGAACAATTAAAACTTAGTTTTAAAAATATATGTCAGGCTCTGTTCTAGGTGTTTTATATTTATTACCACTGATTTTAATCCTCAAAATGCCCTTAGGAACTCGGTATCATTATTATTATTCTCTCTTTTGGTATATTAGAAACTTGAGGCACAGAGAGGTGAAAAACCTTTTAAAAAGTAACCTAATCAGTATTGGAAACCAAACTCTGAAGTCAGATGCCAGAGTCTATGTTACTGAAGACTGCCAGAATCCCCTCACGTTCTACCTGGTGAGTGAGATAAGACACATGACAGGTGCCAAGAAATCAAGACAAATTGACAGCTGGTTTGCCTGGTGGCTAAGATCATGCTGTTTTGCATCTACCATCCTTGGATGTGTGTGCCCTCTCCACGACTTCATAGTCATGTGATGCTGGGAGCTTAATTTCACTAAAGCTTAGTTTCCATAAAAGACATAGGCGGTCAATAGTAATTACCAGACAGGGATATTTAAAAGCACCAGGTGAGATAATGCATGTAAAATCATTAGCATAATGCCTTATAAATAAGTTCCCAATTGATTTTTCCTTCTCTTCATCCTCCTTGTCTTTTTCATGTTACATTAGAGGAATTCAAAGTGAAAAATCACTTTCCCGAGAAAGGACTGAGTAGAGCTTTTAAAAATATGAAGAATTTATATTAGAATGGGAGCTAGGGAAAGATATCTATGCAGTCTCCTTCTCACTGAGTTTCCTGCATGTCCCTATGTTGATTTCCGTGTGTGTGTGTGTGTGTGTGTGTGTGTGTGTGTATGCATGATCCACAGACAGGGAGGGGCATTTATCTACTGACTGAACTGTCCCATTCTACTAACAGCATGCCATGAATCTCTTTCCACACAGCATAAATATCCCACGAATAGAGCGATTTATCCGGTCCCCATTAATGGACAGTTACACAGTTTCCAGGTTTCTCCTTTACAAATCATACTGCACACAATCTGAGAGGACAAGGAAGTGGGTTAGAAGTGGGGGCTCTAATGTTAGAAAGCTTCTTATTTTCCAGTTGAGTGACTTTGAGGAGAAAATTCAAATCCTACTGTGGTTGTAGTGTGTATTGCTTGCAGTTGTTTTCAGAATGCTTAGCAGAATGCCTGAGACATACTAAATACTCCACTCAATAAATGTTAGCCGCAGGAATACTATAATAACAAGGATCATGACAATCGTCCCGTGCTCCTATATGATACATCTATAGGCCAAATTCCTAGAAGTATAATTTTTAGTCAAAGAGCATGCAAAATTTACATTTTAATTACTTAAACAGTTTCCCTCCAAAAATATGATGTCAAATTATACTTCCTTCATTAGAGGTGATGAAACAGTTTTTCCCTAATTGCCAACACTGTGCATTTTCACTCTTTTAATGTAGTTCATGGACATAGTATTTGTTGAGTGGATAAGTGAACATTTTGATAAGTTAAAAATAATATTTTCATTGTTTTAATTGGTACTTCCTTAGTTATAAGTGTGATCATCTTTTGATAGAGTTACAAGTCATTTCTTCTTTGAGAGATGCTTATCTTGATCTTTGCTGATTTTTAAATGTTTATTCATTTTTTCTTCCTGGTATGTAGACCTTTTAATGTAGGAAGACTATCTTCTTGTTATGATTGTTGCAAATCCCTTCCCCAATCTGCAGACTTTTGATTAATAATACAGTATTTTTGCTATATTAACGGACAGCTTTAAACTTAATTCTAGGAAACACATAGTAATAGATATAAATTATTAGGCATTACAAGCAGTTTTACATCTTTAGGACTATAGGACTATACAGAATTTCTCTCTCTCTCTCTCTCTCTCTCTCTCTCTCTCTCTCAGCGCTATCTCTCTTTTAGAGACAGGGTCTCACTATTGCCCAGGCTGGGCTTGAACCCCTGGATTCAGGTGATCCTTCCACCTCAGCCTCTCCTGAGTAGCTGGGACTGTAGAAGCGCACCACCACATCCAGTTATGAATTCTTAAGAACCTTATTGCAAAAATATATTTCAAGAAACAGTCAAAATTTCTGCTGCCAGTATAGGTAGAGGAAAATATAAAATATTACAAACATATTTCACACTATTTAGAATTTGTGTTGTCAAGAGTATTTAGAATGACGAGCATGGATAAGTAAAATGCTGATGCCTGAACCAGAGTCCTGCACACACAAAGAGCAGCCAGAACCCTCTGCCTGTAGCCCTGTTCGCTGTTTAGAGAATGCACCCTGCCTAGCTCTGTCTGTAGCCTCCAAGGACACAGCCAGGACCTGCTCACCAAGAGCCATGTTTTTGCTCTGTCGTCCACGACTTACTATTTCACAGAATGTCCAAGACACAAGATACAAAACTGTTCTTTAGTAAAGGCTTAGCAATGGAATGAATATTCTTTGTGCTTTAGAGATATATCTTGCCTTAAGTAAGCTAGATTGATGAAAATCCAAATTAAACTCAAATGAATTAGAAGGCGATTATTCATTTTACAGAGGGATTTGTCATGTCACGGAAGGATTTTTCCTAAATATTAAGGTGATTGGAATATGATTCAACTTGAAAAAGAAGATTTCCACATAAGCTTTTAGGAATGCTTACACTGACAAAAATGTGCTGTTTATCTAAGGCTTTATGGTTAAAACTCCTAGTTTAATTCCTGGGTTTTTGAAATGTTTATTTTTTTAGTTTGGAAAGATAGCGTCCCATCTGCCCTACAAGGAAAGAAAAGGTTGTTTCATGATTCCGTTATTTAAAAAATGGATATAGCAGCAAGTAGAAATCGTTTGCTTTGCCTAATCAACCTCTATTGCTAACATGTTGCTCTGTCCTTTTGTTATGTGTTTAAACATAGATACGCAAGTGAAAAGTGGTGGAGGATTTTGCAGATCCACTTAACATTACATAATTATAACTGTGCGATATGATGTCAGCGGCAGCTGAAAGAATCCCTACCTTCAAGTGCTACTCCCACTTGTGATTGCAAACAGAAGAGAAATTTAATTAGAATTTGAGGAAGTTTGAGAGCAAATATCCTTGGGTGGGGTTTCACTTAAAGTCACTCTTAGTTAAGAATGTCTGCTCTCCATGGGGATGCTGGGGAGAACTGAGAGATTCGCTAAAACGGGGCGAGGAGAGTAGTTGAAGAAAACAAAGGCTATCCTCCAAGGGTCCCTTATAATAGTAGGTAACCATTCAACGGCCCAAGTCTCCAGAGGCTTCTTAGTAATGATAGAAGTTTTCTAATCCATACTGTCTTTACAGACAGAGACAAATTCAAAACTAAGTGAGGAGATTGCAGAAAATGAAGACATTGATAGGATATATGCGGAATCTTACACTGAAAAGGAAATACAGTTGTTCCTCAGTATCTGTAGAGGACAGATTCCAGGACCTCCCTCAAATGCCAAGTCGCAGGGAGGCTCAGGACCATATAACCCATGCACCTTCTCTTGTATACTTTAAATCATTTCTAGACTACTTATAATACCCAATATGATGTAAATGCTATGTAAATATTTGTTATATTGTTTTGTTTAGGGAATAATAAAAAGTCTATACAAGTTCAATAAAGATGCAATTTTTCCCCCAAATATTTTTAATCTGTAATAGGTTGAATCCATGGATGTGGAACTCATGAATTATGGAAGGTTAATTTTATATTTTATAGTTGAGAAATATTTTAGGATTACTATGTGTTATAGTTCAGTAGTTTTAAAGACATATCATGCTTGACACATTATACACGACAAACATGATTGAATTAATAATATTCAATAAATATATAAGGTTGATATTAGTTTAAGATGTCTACCAAACTCGTTTTGAAGGCCACATATATTTATTCAGTTGAAAAAAAAGTGGTTAGGGAAGATTCACTCAAATATTAATATCTGAATTCAGTTGAATTGAGCTATACACAAGTTTGGGTTTACAGTACTGCACAAGTCTATATTTAGGTCTTTTCTTGACCTGGGGCAAATCTCCATAAACACAGATTTCTCTAGTATCCCTGTCACCAGATGGGGCCAATGGTCAATATTAGGCTGTAAAGTCATCTGCTACTCTTATTAGGTAGTTCCCTTCAGGAAAAACTAGGCATACGTTTGTCTTCAATATGATAATATAAATGAGTATTTGTTGGCACATTTGTACAGTCAGTCATTTTACTATTTTCCGTTGCTGGCTTTTTTCTTGGAGAGGAAGAAAGACACATTCGGTTGGCTTCTCAAGAACATACCTTCACATTCTGTTTTAGTCAGAAAAGTTCCAGCTCTCCAGGGTTTCTGATGGAATCCTGGACAGCACTGATCACAGCTATCTCCGCATGTGTTATGCTCACACTCACAGCGAGATTTCTGGTCAAAAAGAGGGAAGTAGCACGCTTTTAGCATTATTTAGAGCCATAAAGAAGGAGAGCTCTCTGAAAGGCAGTGTGAAGAAAAGAGGAAAGTAGACTATATACTAAAATGTAAAACTACTGTCACCCTGGGAAGGAAGCAGTGGCAGCCTCAGAATAGGTATATTTGATCATCAGCTTAGGGTCATCCAGGCCATTTTGGTATCACTGGGCTTAGGCTTGGAAGAAAGCAGGAAGGCACACTTGGGAGTGGTCTTAAAGACTGAACGTTCCTTCTATGATGCCTGGGATCTGCATGGTTTTTGAATTGGATGTGCCTATCTTCAGGCTCCCCTCAAAGTACCGTTAACATTTTTGGATGTGGCAAAGAGGAAGAGGTTGACGTCTAGGAATCTAGGGGCATAGATAAAACAGAAATCTAAGGTCCTAAAATGAACTCTTTTGCCTGTATGTGATCCTAGTACAGTTTTAGTGCAGTCTCAACGTATCACGTGGAACTGGCTCTCCAAGGATGCCTCGTGGGCTCTCAAAGCTAGAGGAATAAGACCCATCAGTCCACCTGGTAGAGAGCACCCTGTTACCAAGCAGAAAGGAGCACTACTATTTTCCCCATAAAAATATGCCAGGCAGTTTGCCTCTTCCTAGGAGATAACATTATAATCCATGAATCAGAAAACTAGCTTTGAGTATAGTGTCACAATTTTAGTGGAGAAAAAAACAAGTCCATAGTCCTACTCACATTCACTGATCTCACTAGTCAATATATTTTTCTATATACTATACAATTGATGATTTTGCATTTCACCAGTTTGTTTGTGACAGGAAAAATAGATGCTCATTCATCTTCTCCTTTAGGTTTGGTTCACTTAATCCATTGTCATGAATGAAAAATTCTACCCAAAAGCATTCCAGCATTTTCTGGTTTGGCACTGTCAAGGCTCTCTTGAATTCTCTCTTCTACCCCACCTTTTATTTTCACTGCCCGACCTTACCCGCCTGCTCCATGGCCATCTATGTATTTACTTCCATGCACATTTTTCATTTGTTTGCATTAATTTTTCGATTGAAAATTTTAAAAGAAATGGTCAGGTTGATTGATGGCAGGCATTTTCTAAAGCTAAATCACACGGCAGGCTGTCATAGCTAGAGAGGTTTCAAAAGATATAGACCCGTTTGGAGCCTTTTTGGAAGAAACTAATCTGTTTTCTGATACTGTGATGGCTGATTTCAAAGTCTATCATCCTAACTGCCAGCTCTTATTTCATCTGGGCATCGCTTTCTGTTCCACCATCTAAGTGGGGACCTGACACCCATTCACAGGGTTTCCTGTCAACAAAGACTCTCATGAAACATTTTACAGTTCAGGGCTTCACTTTGCTTAGGCATCCTATAAATATACATACATTTGTCGCTGGATCAAGTGGACAAGCCCTGGCATGACCATAGCAGATGCACATCCCTCCAACCGAAATATCCTTGACCGAGTAGTAATACTGCAAAAAGCAATCCAGAGAGAAATCCTGTTAAGATGACTGCAAGGTGATAGGAGCAAAAGGGAACATTCAATTAAAAATTTTATTTTCGACTTTTATCCTTAGTTTGAAACACATTTGTGTTTCTTGAGGACAAGTGAAGACTCAAAACAAATGAAGTACCTCCTAGCTCATAATTATAACCCAAAGAAAGGATGCTTTTAATTTAAGTTATGTTGGTATTTTAGAAATTTCTTTTCCACAGACAGTACAAAGTACACATTGGAATACTTGTTGCTGAAGTTGGTTATCTTGGGACTAAGGACAATTATTCTTCATAAAAGTTGTTTTACATAGTGTCACACAAAAAAAGTGATTTTGTTGTGATAATAGGAACCTTGGCATTCACAAGTCATATGCAGACTGTTTTACTCAACAGACTTGAAAAGAACCAACAAAATTTAGAGAGAAATTGTGGTCATAACAACATATTACTTAACCATATTAAGAAGAAAATAGAAAGTAAATAACTTCAAGTTTGTTGGATACAACACTTGCACACTTGCATCTTTTTATTTTTGTTAAAAAGTGCATATAATTAACCTCCTATAGAGCTATGCTGTTAATTATTTTAATCTATATAGCTATTTTAAAAGAATATTTATAATTACAGAGCTGGACTATTTAAAACATTTTAACTAATATGTATATAACATTTTACAATTACCATAGTACTTGACATCATCAGTATCCAAACAACCATTTCAGTAGTAAATAATTCCATTATTCCAATTATACATATGGAAGAAAAAAAACGGATTTAGCAAGAATAAGTAGGTGGATGCAAATCTGAGTTCCCTGATTATAAATCTCCTTTTTAAAAAAATTTTATCCTTCCTTTGTTTATTTTTGTTATGTAAACACAGTGTCTTTTATAATATTTTTGTTACATTATCTTATTTAATATACCTAGACCTTGAATTAAGGGAAGGTGCTAGAAAGTTTTGATAATGTAAAAGTCTTTTTTTCTCTTAACTCCATCACTTAATAATATAAATACACATAGAGATATTTGCTCAGAAAGCGGATACAGTAGTATTTGTGGATGCTTTTGAAATTGGGAAATCTATTTTAAATATTAATGTATAATGCTTTGCTTTTGAGTCATAAGGAGGAACTGAAATTCAATATCTTATTTTTATATACTTAAATTTAGATGTAGTGTTTATTGAACTTGAGTACTTTGGAAAAACATATGTATATGTTGACTTCCACTGCACTATTTTAAAGGCTCATGTACAATACAGTTATAAATAATAGATGTGCGTTCTAACCCCCACTCTGCCTCCTGCAAAAGACGATAAAAGGAACACTAATTTATTTTCATTGATTTTTTTTCCTCTGGTAGATACACTGTCGGGAAAGATTAAATTTCACTTCAATATTATTCCATCTTCCTCCGTGTATATTTTTAAGTCATGCCAAAATTAGAATTAAAAGTTATTTTTTTGAAGCAAGAAAAGAATCTAGACAATGCTATCGAATAATGATTAGTGCTGCATGAGACAATTTATGATATGGTAAAATATAAGATAAAATTATTTCACATTTGGAAAATACAGGGCACTAAAACATGACATATGTTGTATGAGATTAACTAAAGCCTTCAAAGTGATTTTGTGATAATGGAGAGGTTAGGTGTGGAGAAGTTAAGTAATGTGGAGATAAAATATGTGAAGGGTATTCAGGAACTGTGAATGATCAGGCTATCGGTTGAGCAATTTGGCACTAGACAGCAGTGGTCTGACCTTCATAGGATCATTCTAGACTTAAGTGCTTTCCACCACGCACGGTGCCTCACACCTGTAATCCCAGCACTGTGGGAGGCTGAGGTGGGATGATTCCTGGAGCCCAGCAGTTCCAGACCAGCCTAGGCAACATAGAAAGAACTTGTCTCTACCAATAATAATAATAATAATAATAATAATAATAATAAGGGTATTACTAATAATAAATATAGTTAAGCCATTTGTTCCACAATATTAGCTCCTATGTAGCAGATTGTATGCGAGGTCATAAATAGTAAATGTAATGAGGGATAGATAGAAGAAAGCACAGTTATCACTGAATCGATCATCTATATCATGATCCCACAAATTCAAATCTAACACAGGAAGACAGCACTTTCATTGGCTTCTGTGTTCAGAAATCTTTTGAAAAGATGTCTTAACCTTTTTCTCCCTCGTATTTTATTTGTAAAGGGAAATAAACAGTAAGTAGAATCCATTTCCCCTACAACAGCACTTTTCATAAACTATAGCTTGTGATTCATTAATGAAGTATAAAACCAAATTATTTAATTAAACAAAATGGTCCATGGACTAGCAACATTGGCATCACCTGAAAACCTTCTAGAACTGCAGAATCTCAGCCCCGCCCTAAATCTACTGTATTCCCACAAGGTCATTAGCTGATTCTGTGCACATTAAGATTTAGGACATATTGTTCTCTTTCTCTCCCTCTCCCCTCCCCATCTCCCCTGCATCTCCCCACCCCTGTCCCGTGTGAGTGTGTGTGTGTGTGTGTGTGTGTGTGTGTGTGTGTGTGTGTGCGCGTGCGCATGTGTGTGTGTACTAGGTCATGATATAAAATGTGTTTCTTAGTGTGGGTTATGACCAAAAATGTTTCAAACCTCTGCACTTCCAGTAGTAACTCCCCAAATCCAGTTATATTAGTAATACAGATTACCTAAAGTGACAAAAACTAATTTAGCCCTCAAAAATAAGAATGTGAAATACATATTAGGATCTTCACTCCACAAAAGAAGAAATTAAAGTTTAATAATGCTAAAGCATTTGATAAATGTTATACTCCTAACAAGTGGCACAGTTTGGATGGAACAAAGGAAAGTCAATCAAATGTTAAATAATAATAATAAAAATAACAAAATATTTAAATTAAAAATAATGATTGATAATGACCACTCCTACAAATCACCGAAAGATTCCTTTTTAAATTATAAAAGATAGGTATAATATCATTCATAGCATCCAATGACTGATCATAACTTACTCTTCTTGTGACAATGGGGTCAATTTCTCTTGGGTCTTTGTGAGCAAACATCATCAAGTCAGCATTCAAAGTGCGGATCTTCTGGAATCTCAGGCGAATATAGCGAGCCGAGGTAAATTCCAGTAGCTCAGGAGAGGGATCGTCAGCACTTGGTCTCCCATTGATTAAAGAGATGTGAATCTGCACATGTGGAAAATAATTTAATCATTAAGTTTACCGGAAGTTAAATATCTAATTTTGTTTGTTTCTTTTTTTTTTTTTTTTAGGAATATAAATGTAAGTTTTCATTCTTTCAGTTAGTTGAACATATTCAGGCTCATGCTTACTCAGTGAAAACTAGTGAAGTGACTGAGATATGCTATGCTTTTTAAAAATTCTCGTAAATACAATTCATTTGCTTATATCTTAGGCATTCTCTGTACCTGTAGTCCTCTGTTCCAAGACACTGAAACAACTTGACCTTCCTAGGATTTTCATAAATTCTTAAAGCAATCATTCTTTTTCCAGCAATTATTGTGCCCTAAATTACTTAAGGATCTACTACACAGTAGAAAGCCAGTAAACTTGGTTTAAAAAAAATAGAAAAATATCAGATTAAAAACAGAAATCCAACAGGAACTTAAAATAATTCTGTACTTGAAAGTATCCCATTATATAGCCTTAAAATATGGAGAACAATAAGGAACAGATTACAAGACAAACCAGAAAAATATATAATCATAGTGAGAAAAATTCAATAGGTTGTTTTTTGCTGTTTTTCTTTATTTTTTTTTTTAGTCATTGATAGACTAAGACATAAATTTACCAAGAACTAAACATATGCTACAAAAATACATTCTATAAAAGTATATTAAACCTAATTGACATGGTGAATGTTTTAGGAAAATAATTTAGCACAATTAACACAAGAAGAAGTAGAAATCAATTAGACCATTCTCTATGTTAAAAAAATGAAGAATTTATAAGGAATTTTACTCAACAATGTACTAGGTTAGTGTGCGCTCTCAGGGGTTTCTCAAGAGCAGAGAATTCTAATGAAGAATAAACTGTATGGTGAATTAAAAAGAACTCCTATCATAGGTAAAGAAAGTCTCTAATACCTGAAGTACTAAAAATTAACAAAGAAACAGATCAACAACACAGCACAAAAATCGATGAATTTATGAGGGTATTATTCACAAAAAAGAAAAATGGCTGCTAAACTTTAGATAATATATCAAATCTCACTCATTAAAATTACACTGTTCATTAAAAATACACTGATGAACTTCTTCCCATTTTGGGGGGTTGTCAAAACTCCCAAATCTTGATAATACTCTCTAATGGCAAGACTAAGGGGGTACAGACATATTTTCTACGCTTATGGGTATGAATGTACAAACCCAAAGTTATTTAATAACTATCAAAATTAGAAATGCATAGAATTTTTGACCTAGCAATTCAACATCTGGGAATTATCTTACAGATATAAAATAATATAAATATTGTATTATATGTGAATCAAATATATTTAGTGGACTGAATGTTTGCATACTCACTAAAATTCATATATTGGCACCCTAATCCCAATGTAATATTTGGAGGTGAGGCCTTTCGCAAATTCATATATTGGCACCCTAATCCCAATGTAATATTTGGAGGTGAGGCCTTTCGCACGTAAGTAGGTCATAAGGGTGGAGCCTTCATGAATGGGATTAGTGCCCTAATGAAAAGAGGCTAGCGAGCTAGTTAGCTCTTTCCGTCACGTGAGAATACAGGAAGTCGGCAGTCTCTACAAGCTAGAAAGGGAGTCCTCATCAGAATCCAACCATGCTGGCAACCTGATTGCACAGTTTCAGCCTCCTGAACTCTGAGAAATAAACTTCTGTTGTTTATAAGCCACTCGTTCTATGGAACTTTGTTACGGCAGCCCAAACTGACAAAGACAATCTTATTTCTACAGTATTTTTTGCATTATAGTAAAAGACTGTAAACAACCTAATGTTCATCCATCTGGGATCAGTTAAATAAATTATACATCTATATAATAAATTATGTGCAACCATAAAAAAAGAATGAGGAATCACTCAATAGACAGATAGAAAGAAGTACATATTTTCACTTTTTTTGTACCGTGTAAATGGATTATTATCTATGCAATCAATGAATCAAATAAAAGTTGCTAAAGAAATTTAAATTGAATGGTAGGTTTTTGAACTGACCCCCCCCCACACACACACAGGGCTAATGAGACAGGAATTTAAGACGTGGGAGTCCTGCCCTGGGGTGTGGGATATGCAGATATGGGACCTCCGTGTACACCGGGAGCTGTGACTCTAGGTTACACGCTAGGATTTTCATCTGCTTTTCCAAGATGATGTATCATGTGCATTGATTACATTTGTTGATAGGAGAGGCAATGATATGCATTTCCATTCATAACAACCTGCATTTAGGTAATCCCAAGGAGCTTTGCACAAGCGGATTGCCAATAAACTACTTGAATCACTAGAAAAATAGAACAAACTCTAAGATGAAAAACTAATTCTGATGACACAAAGAATAGATTCAAAATGCCTCAAGATAAAAATATGAAATGTTACAGCTAATTGAATCTACCTCAGATAATAAATAATAAATTCATTTAATCAATGCACTTGGGGGGATAGACTACAAGGTCTTCTAAAATACTTTCTGTCTCCAAATACCGAACACCCTCCAATGTAGGAAATTCTAAAAGAGTAATTTTGATCTTGTATATTCCACAATTCTGGCATCTAGCAGGTGAGCCAGATATACATATTAAAAATGGAGTGCTTTGTATTGCTTAAGAAGGTATCAGTTAAATGTTAAAAGAAGGAATAGATACATGAAGCCATTAAAACTAGTATCCCTTAGAGATTAATTTTGGCATACTGAAAAGTCACCAGTGCCCTGGAATGCATGCTTGAATTTCTATCAAGTTCTTTCTTAACTGTCCCCCAAAATACTATTTGAAAGAAAGGAGGAAATCACCGCATGTCTATGATTAGAGTTTCTCAAAATTATTAAGGTTTATTTGGTGTTCATGCTGTGGTGAACCACATTTATGCCGCATAAGGACTCGTAAGTTCTTCACTTAAACATACAAATAATTTTTTGAAAGACAGGTGTACAAATTCTCACTTAGGCTAATAAACAATATAATAGCTGCAAGAAGGATTCAGCAAAAGAACACTTCTTCTCACAGTTCTGCTATTTTCATCAAGCTGCTCTGCCAAAGATCTTGTGAGTCTAGTTAGTCCCAAGCTGTTTCTGGGATATAAAACCAGCCAGCTGTTTGGCCATGCTGCTTGCAGCTTCCTTCCACCATGACGTATGTGTATGTGTATGTGTGTTTGTGAGTGTGCATGAGTGTGTGTTTCCACTCTCCTTCACAGTAAATGGTCATATTAAATAGGCTATTTCCACTGGCACAATGCTGTGTAATTCCAAGTCGACTGGGTCGTTGAGCATCCTTCCTGATTTCCTATCGGGTGACAACTGGAAGGCGTCTATCTTCAAGGAAGATGAAAAGTAGCAGTCCCCAAGACCACCAATGTCTTGCTGTGAGGCCCTGGGAAATCTGTGGCAGTCTAGTGTCTTCTGAAATGGTTTCTATTACAGACGTGTTGGTGGGTGTATGTTCATGCTGTCTCAGGAATTTGTTCCAACTGAAAATATCAGCCTGTGATTATCAACTGGTTTTTTAGGTTGCAAAACACACTTTTCTTTGAAATAGTTTTCACAGGCAAACAAAGGAAGGAAACAAAACCCTCATCTGAAATATCTCTTTTTGGAACCAAATGACTAAATCAACAGTACACTCTATCCATCCAAATAATTCTATTTGTACTAGTGTAAGCATACTATGTACATTATCTTTCCCATGTAATCTCTGTGCTTCTGTGGCATGTTTATTTTAGAATACATTTTTTAAAAATGGGTTATGCAGCAAATACTCAGATTTCTAGTATAGATAATTGTCCTTTATTGTAATGCTTGTTTATTTTTATCACTAAATTAGCTTTAGAAGGCTGGAGGAGCTATAGTCTTAATATCCAACTATAGGGACGGATGGGAGAGTGAAGCCTGTGGAAGGGTCATCAATCAGTATCAGAAACTTTAAAATAAGTAGCACGTGGACAGAGTTGACGGCTTGATATGTAGCATACTCTCTCTCCTCGAACATTTTAAAAACCTGTTTGTTCTATCAAGCTCTACACATATGCCAGTGAACTAGATATAACACATTGAAAGTAAGTTGATCCTAGGAGATAGAATAATTCAGCCCTATGTGTAAATTGAGATTAGTTATCTATAGGTATAGCCAAAGAATTTGTATGTAAATGAGTGGCTGAGACATCTGGGGACCTCTTAAATCCAATTTTGCTTCATATGGTATTATTTCAGGGAGGAAGAGGACAATTATAATCATAACTTTGAAAAACGAGACTAATCTCGTCTATTTTAGACCGTGTGAAAAACAGGTTCAGTTACTCCTTGGTAATTGTGGGGAATTGGGTCCGGGACCTCCTATGGACACCAAAATCTGAGGATGCTCAAGACACTGGTACAAAATGGCACAATATTCGCAAATAACCTAGGCACATCCTCCTGTTTCCTTTCGTTCATCTCTGCATTTCAGTACCTAACACAATGTAAATGCTAAGTAAATATTTGTTACACTGTATTGTTTAGGGAATAATGAAAAGAAAAAATTCTGTATGTTCAGCGCAGACGCAATTTTTTTTCCTAGTATTTTCTATCTGAGGTCATTTGAATCCAGGAATGCAGAACCCATAGATCCAAGAGGGTCAACTCTATATATCTGGAGAAGGGAGATGAGCTCTAGGAATCTTAGGGAAAAGGAACAATGCGATCATGTTTTATTGCTTTTCTAGCACAGAGCGCAGTCTTGACCTCTGGCTCTCGATAGTAAATAGGTACATTTAGGTCTGTTTTTCACCAAGCTCCAACCATTCCACTGATCTCCCCCCATTCCACTGAAACTATGCTTGGGAATGTCACCAATGTCCTTCACATTACTAGCTAAAATGACCAAGTCTCAGTCCCTGCCATTTTTGAACTTTAGCAGCGCTAGAAACAACTGATTACTCCGTTGACTTCCAAGACATGGTGAACTGTTTTCCTCTCCCTTCTAGCTACCCCTTCTCAATCTT